AATTCATATTTCCATGCAACCACCAATTGCTGATGTTCGCTTAAGATGCAATAGCATGATGATGATGATGACGACGATAATGATGAAGAGGAAGAAAAAGAGGAAGGAGGGGATGTTGATGCTAGTTGCAGACGGACTTGTGAACAGTTTCCAAATATTTTCTCTGCTTGTTCTTTACTGTGAATAAAATTAATCAAAATGATAACATCTTTGAGATCATCCATTGTTTTAATCCGTGAAATAAATTTCAGTTGTGATTCAACTAAACAAAACCATGTTCAGGGGCGGATCTAGACCACGTTGACGGGAGGGCCCACAATTTTCAATATTTTTAAAATTTGGCAGGGGGTCTAAAAATAAAAAGTTAATCAAATGTTGGATAGTGTGGCCGAAATTAGGCTAGCGAATTTTTTTATACTTGTCACATCAATTTTTCGTCGATTTTGTTCTTAACAATGGTATTTTGCTGCCCCGAAAACGAATTTTACAGACTTTTATTGCAATTACCGCCAACAACGGGAAAGGTGGTGCCCCTGACCCGCCACTGGACACTTCTGAATAATAATATAATATGTGTGTGTGGAAAATAAGCTAATCGATTCTACGGCGTTTAATTAATAAATCCACCCATCCAACAATGCCATAAAACATGAGTTGATTAAAAAGCACAAACAAGTTGGAACGATCGAACGACCCACACGATACCCAAGATACACACAAATAAACACCACAGACACATACAAATACACACCAAAGATATACATAAATATGCACAACATGCACAAGGGTATGTACAAACACATAATCACAGTTTTTTAAATTAACATTTGCATTTTTGTGCGGTACTCCGGCAAAGCGTAAGAAAAAAGACATAGTTGGTGCCTCATGTATCAAAAACGACAAAAACGAGATGGTTCTTGAACAAGATGATATCAAGCTACAGTGGAGAGAATACTTCAACCGTCTGTTAAACGAAACAAATTCAATCAATGTTAACTTTGACGCTCCACCCATCGAAGGTCCGATTCCAGACATCACTGTAGAAGAGCTTACAGAAGCTCTGAAAGCTATGAAGGATGGAAAGGCAGCAGGGCCCTCTGGACTCACAAATGACATTATCAAAGCATTTGGCACTGTCTGTTAGAACACTCCCTGAAAATTGTCGAGAAAATCATTGAGAGAAGATTAACGTCGTGCATCACAATCGGAAATTATCAATTTGAAATTATCAATTTGGTTTCCTAGCAGGGAAATCAACAATTGATACAATTCACATCCTTCGGCAACTGCAAGAGAAGTACCTCGCAAAGCATCAACAACTATCACACATTTTTGTAGATCTTGAAAAAGCATTTGATCGAGTTCCCCGTGAAGCAATCAGATGAAGTCTACGTCGACAACTCATTCCAGAATATCTGGAATCTATCTATATCTGTCGACATTTGGAATCTAGTATATGCTGATGATATCGTTTTAACAGCCAAGTCTGAGCAGAATGCAGCACAGATGTTTGAAGATTGGAACACCAGACTCGCCGACCATGGATTCAAAGTCAACATCAGCAAAACCAAAGCAATGAACACTGGTGAACCCATCCAATCCACAGCTACTGGACGATGGCCCTGTTCAGTTTGAAAAGCTGGTGTAGGTAACAATTCAATCAAGTGTCAGCAGTGTAACCAGTGGTGTCACAAACGTTGTTCAAAAATAATAGGTACTTTATCTAAAGTGTCCAATTTTGTTTGTCCTGCTTGCATCAATCCACAACAACAAATTCGAAATATCTAGGAGATGTTCTGGATTGTACTGGAACAGCTGAAGCTGCCGTTCGAGCACGCATACGTGCAGCCTGGAATAAATGGCATCTCCTTGCCTCTATATTGATGCGGCGTGACATCCCACTACCACTACGATCAAGACTTTATAAATCTGTGATACGTCCGGTGTTGTTATATGGTGCAGAAACATGGCCAATGACAACCAAACTGGAACAACAACTTCAACGAACCGACATGAAAATGCTCCGATGGATGCAACGAATTAGTCTGAAGGACCACATCAAATCTACCGAAATTCTGCGTCGTGCTGCTTTAGATGATATAAAGGACGAATGCCGGCAACACCGTCTGCGGTGGTTTGGTCATGTCAAACGAAGTGGAAACAGTGCCATAACTTCTCTTGCAGATGTTGAAGTACCTGGCACAGGTCCCAAAGGCCGTCCAAAGAAGTCCTGGTCGCAAACAATCGAGCAAGTTTAAATGAAATGGATACAACTGATCGTCTAATTTGGCGCAAAAAGTTGATGGCAAAGAGAACAACATCCTACCTCGGGAAACCGGGTCTCTGGACGCAAAACGAAGATTGATTGATTGATTGACTCCGACAAAAAATGGACAGCCGGCCAACTAAACAAACCGACAAATAAACGAATGAATGAATGAATGAATGAATGAATGAATGAACGAACGAACAAACGAACGAACGAATGAACGAATGAATGAATGAATAAATAAATGAATGAATGAATGAATGAATAAATGAATGAATGAATGAATGAATGAATGAATGAATGAATGAATGAATGAATGAATGAATGAATGAATGAATGAATGAATGAATGAATGAATGAATGAATGAATGAATGAATGAATGATTAAATTAGAGAGCCAATAATATACTCGAATTAAAAGTTTATCAATAAAAACATTTACAAACAACAAATAATAATTTCAATAACAGTGATTTATCTTCTATGAAAAAAAAATTTAATTTTACATGCATGTGGCTTTGAGTAGTTTCAAAAGGCGCCATATAAAGTCTTCGATAAATAATAATGCACACAAATGTATTGTTATATATCCACCAAGCGAACGTAAAAGCACCCGCCTCGAGCCTCTGGTACTCAAATAATTGGATGGATATTTAAATAAGACACTGTGTGTGTGTGTGTGTGTGTGTGTGTGTGTGTGTGTGTGTGTGTGTGTGTGTGTGGATGTGTGTGTGTGGTGAGGGTGTGTGTGTGTGCAATGAATACGTTTATGTGTTTGTACAATGCACCTATATTTTTTAGGTCGGCTTTTTATAAAATTTTTTAGAGTTCCATGCCGTTTCAGCGTTGTTGATTTTATAACGAAATTTTTTTATATACCCAACTTTATTCCTAAAAAATTATAGAAAATCAACGTTATAATATTAACAATTTGGAAACTTGTATAGAATTCTTAGAATACAAATGTATGTGTAGTACACGCAAATGCTGTTATAGATTATTAATATGTTTTGCCGTTACGATTGGAGGACCGCCCTGACCTTTAGCTCTACATCGAATGTTTTATCGTCTTTTATTTTCATTATTCATTTATTTATTTATTTATTCATTTATTTATTTATTTACGCATTTATTTTATTCACTATTGCAATCCATATTTCTGTTTAATATTCTCAATATTAAGGATTATGTTGGTCTCAATGCAATTTAATTCATTTTCTGAACTTCTAATTATAAGTAGCAGTTCTCACAAACAGATGTGAAAAGCTAAATATGCAGTTTGTTGCCGACTATAAATTTTCATATCTCAATCAACTCAAACGGACCAATTTTTGTCTAGGAAAGTGTTGAAAACATCGGTGGTTGAATAAATTACTTTTTTACGACAATTTTTATATTTTGTATTATTTCTTAAAATTATCCCTTAAAATTGTCCAAAACTCAGCAATGATGTAGAATGGAGACTGCTACTCCTAATTAATCATTAAGACAACATTTAGTGGGCATTTTTTGAAATAGCAACTCCAATTGTGTCAGGTATTTACTAACAGTTAGTCCCGAAATTACCTTGCAGTGGTAAAGCACAATTTTTACATTTCTCGTCAGAAAACATTAATTTTTTAATAAAACTATTGAAGTTAATCGCACCAACCAGCAACACATTCCGTTATTAAATGATGATGATTCAAATCATGAATTTCTCCATGACCGTAGAAGAGTAGACGTTAGATAAATACGTATTTTTGTTTATATGTTTTCTGAGAATTGCTCAATGAGCTTCGAACTAATTTGAGAAGGCTGGTGTCAGCTCCCAAACGTGCCGCAGTAACATTCGAGAGTCATAGATAATAATGTAGTGCGCTCTGGAGGTAGTGTTCAAAAAACATTCAGCCCTCGGAGGAAAATAATACAAAATAAATGTTTGAAAATATTATGCTATCAAAAAAAGTTATGTCGATTCATTAAAAAGCTGATTGATTTTAGTTTAAGAAATTCGTCATGTCACTCTAAATTTATGGCTGACTAATTTGTTTTAAATTAACGTGATTATCTCTCTTTTTCTTATTTTATTTATTTAGTTAATTAATATTCTTCATTTATGAAAACTTTCTGGGTTTTTTTCGGTTTAACTTTGTATTATGAAATTGAGTTTTTTTGTGATAGTATAGAGAATAATGTTGAAGAAAAAGTTGTGAATGCGAGTGAAGTCAATTTCTATTAAAAAAATTTATTTTAGTTTAAGAAATTTGCCATGTAAGTTCAATTTTTACGACCTATTAATTTGTTATATATTAACTTGGTTCTTATTTATTTTCAGTAATATTTATTTTTATTTAACTTATATGATTAATCTCCTTTATTTTTCTTCCGTTTAACATTGGATTACGGCGTTAATTTTTTGCGGGAGCACAGGAACTTGTATTGGCGCTTTTTATATTTCCAATCATGTAATGTCATGTTATGTTGTGTCATGTTATGTTGTGTCATGTTATGTTATGTGATGTTATGTTATGTTATGCTATGTTATGGTCATAACATCTCACGAAAACCAAGAAATAAAAAAAATAAATATAAATAAATATATATTAGTAGAGAAGTTTAATAAACTTAAAATCATAATTAGAAAGTAAACTAAGGTAAGCAACAAAATAACGAAAAATATAGACGAACAAATATTTGAACGAACGAATGAATGAATTAACTAACAAATAAATGAATGAATAAAACTGAATGACGACCGACTTTTATTGTTGTGATCCTGCTTGAACACTTCTGGAATGAGAAAACCCAAGACCAACTGAGCCACGATCTCCTCTGAGTCCATTGTGGAACGACTGTGCAACATATTTACATATTTATTTTTACATTACACATACACACACGCACACACACACACGCATGCACACACACACACACATATAAATATATTCATACATATATACATAAGGATGGCGACTATTTCGAATGGATTTGTATTTGATTAGTAAATAGTATATTTAATTTGTTGAATGGAATTCAACAAATTGATTAACAGTCCCATGTCCCATGTACTTAGATTTAGATTTAAAAAGTTTTCCTAAATGTTCAGCTAGTTGATGCAAAAATATTTTCAACGACAAACATCAAAGCACACTGAATCCTCTTTTGTACTGCATGTACTGCATGTCATCATTAATCCAGATGACAAGAACTGTGCCAAATAAATAATTATCTCTTCATTCATCCTCCCACAATTTCTTTTTTTCAGTTATTCGTTTTTTTTGTTTTTTCATTCACTCATCTAACAATCCAAATGTCAGTCAGTGGATTCGTTGTTTATTCCATTATCTATTGATCAATCTATCCATGTATCTATCTATCTATCCATTTATCTATCAGTGTATTCATTTATCTAAACCTATCAAACCCTCTAACCATAACCCTCCGACCGACCGACCTATCAACCGACGTACCTACCTGCCTGCCTGCCTGCCTACCTACCTACCTACCTACCTACTTACCTATCTACCTATCTACCTACCTACCTATCTATAAATGAATAAAATTAATTAATTAATTAATCATCCACCTGTTTTCAGCTTTGTTAGCAGCTTCATCAATCATAATTGCAGTTTGTTGTACGAGCTTCCTCGCTTGCATATCGGCGTTGCTATCGATGGTCTTAAGTATGATGTCCTCCAAGTAACTGTCCACCGTGTCCTGGTGCACCTTCACAATCTGTCCATAGGTGTGTGTTTGTGTGTGTTCGTGTGCTCATGAACATTTTTTATTATTTGAAAGCGTGGGCCCTCGTAAGTTTGGATGAGTTTATTTTCTGTTTGATTCTATGAACAATTTACTTTTACTCGCCAGGTTCATAGCTCGATTAACTTTCACCTGCATGCAAGAACGAGAATTAGAAATAAATTGAAACCTATCACACTGCATGCAAATTTGTGTGTTACGTGAGGCGCTCGTGTGAAAATGTGTGGAGATTTTTAAAAATTATAATTGTAAGGGAAACTAATGAAGATCACAAAAATTATTCAGAAATCAAAATTTAGTTAGTTAGTGAGTGTGAGTGAGTGAGTGAGTGAGTGAGTGAGTGAGTGAGTGAGTGAGTGAGTGAGTGAGTGAGTGAGTGAGTGAGTGAGTGAGTGAGTGAGTGAGTGAGTGAGTGAGTGAGTGAGTGAGTGAGTGAGTGAATATGAGTGAGGGAATATGAGTGAGGGAATATGAGTGAGTGATTAGTCACCTGTTTGAATGCTTCATCGGCTTCTCTTCGCCTTCGCTCTTCGATCTGTCGCATTCCTGATTCTTCAGCTTCCCTTATCCTTCTGTTCCTCTCGGCTAACATAACGAAAGCTTCTATCCTTCGCTCTTCTTTCAGTCTGTCCAGTTCTTTCGTCAGGAAGTCCAGACAATCAGAAAGCGTTTCACCCTCCAATTCGCTGATGAGACTGTCTACAACGTCATCCTGTTGGGTTTGTTGGTTGACAGTGCTCTGCCGATTGAAGTATCGTTTCTAACGCGGCTTTTTTATTTAAGTCTACGCGCACATCCCTTTGGCGGACTAATTTGCATGTTTCCGTATTTTTGCTAATTTTTTACTTAAACGATAAGTTTGAAAACAAATTTCAAGAAAAAATTTGAAAAAATTGCTAAAACAGTTAAAAAACATTTGTAATAAAAAATTTTAGTAGCCGTTTTTATATGTATGTAAATTGTTATTATTTTAGCTAGCAAAATTTACCAAAATGAACTAAATTTGGCTTCTATGTGGTGGGGTATGTACAACTATGTTCAAGCCACCACACCATCATTAGTTAAAATTGATATGTTCCCCAACTAGGTTGATTGCGTGAAGATATCAAAATTGGAACTGATCAGCAGTGCAAAGGCAACAATGATGAAGGTTGTGATACTGTAATTGCAATGAAATGATGAGATGACAATGAAAATGACGTAACCATACCCTCGTAACTAAACGAGCCCTCAAGTCTTGTTCCTCCAACGTCTTCTGCTTATGCGCCTCAATGAAACTCTGCTCACTTTGCAAAAGTGCGTGTGTGCTTCTCAACTCTTTTATCAATTCCATTCTTTCTTCCTTGCCCTGAAGCATGGTGGCTTGCGAGTGCCTGCCTCTAATCATCTGCTGCAGGAATGTGATGGCCAGCTTTTTATTGTCTTGAACCTGGAGGTGCAAGTGATTGTCAACGATGATGCTGGTTTAAAATGACGAGGCTAAATAATGATGAAAAAAACTAGCTACCTGTAAACTAGTAGAGATGAGGATGAAAATGTTGATAATTAAAACAAATCGTTGACAAAATGAAACAAAAAACAAACCTCGGATTCAAAGGAAGCGGTTGGTGTGGGTGGGCGAACGGCGGGTTTCTCAATTTTTTGCAAAAATTTGAGAGGCTTTGGTGATTTGCTTAGTAGTTCCTTCTCTTTCTGTATGGACTGCAGTTATGTGTGTGCGTGGATTTTGTGCAACTATAAACATGGAAGGATAAGTAAACAGTTTTGCGCATGTATCGGCTGAGTAATAAAAACAAAATAGTGAAATTAACAGAGAAAGGGAAAAAAAGAAAGTGAAATGGCAAAAAAAGCAAAAAGAAAAAAAAAGAAAGAGAATCAAATCAAATCAAATTTTATTCAATCAATCCAAATTAATAATAATTAGGTAATGATTAGGAAACCAAAATTCTTGTGTCGCAGGCCACCGTTCACAAATTGTTCATTCTAACACAATTTTTAAGTAAATTTATAATTCATGACAAAATTAACATAATGCACAATTTACATGATTCTAATTAAATAAAAATTGTACTTTTTTTCAATAAATATTTCTTTATTTTGTTTTTAAACAAATGCAAGGAATTTGTAGTCTTTATATCAACAGGAAGTTTCTCCCAGATTCCGGGACCGGTATGTTTTAAACTTCCACCAAGCAGTGTTATTCTTGCAGGTGGTGTATCGAGCAGAGGAGAATGTTGAGTGAACTTTGAGTGCACAGCATTTCCGAATTCGAAAAAGTCATTAAAAGATGTTGGTAATTGATAATGTAGAAACTTGAACACAAAGATAGAAACATGATAATTTACAAATTTTTTATGTTTAAAATTTTCAGTTCAGGATAATAACAGCTGACATGACTATATGGATGTAGATTTAATAGAATTTTGATGAAAGGATTTTGACATCTGGTAATTTGCTTCAAGTGAACTTCAGGGCTGTTTCCCCAGATAATGGTGCAGTATATTAGATGTGGATAGATTAATTAATAATACAAATCTATAATTATTGGTCTATTCAATCTTACTTTAATTTTATTAATTACGCCTATGGTTTTATTAATTTTTTTCGATAACGAGTCTATATGCATATCCCACGAGAGGTTGTCCTTGATTATCACTCCGAGAAATTTTGTGCTGGATGTACGCGGGATGCTATGGTTATTCATTTTTATATCTAAATTAGGTATTGTGTTAGTCAATATTTTTGGACCGAATAGAATGTAGTTGCATTTAGAAAAATTTACAATTAGTTTATTATTGATGAACCAAATTGAAACATCATCTAAACTTTTATTAATTATCTCTACATCGTTTGATGGATTGCTAGTTGGGAAGAAAATGTTAGTATCATCATCAGAAAGAAAAAATAATGAAATTATCTCTACATCGTTTGATGGATTGCTAGTTGGGAAGAAAATGTTAGTATCATCATCAGAAAGAAAAAATAATGAAACTCACATCGTAGATCCTTTCCAACTCTTTTTCTCTCCTTCTTCTTCTCCTCTGGACGGCTATCTTGTCGTTGGGCGACTTGGGACGGATGCGAATGTTGCAGTTGTACTGCTTGCGATTCAACGTGTCCTCCAGCTCCGTCACCCCTGGTTGGCGTCGTAATGAAGTCATTATGTTATTCATGGTTATAACGATTGGGTTGATCATGGTGGTGTTTAAGATGATCAGTGTAGTATTGAGAACAGTGATCATCATAATCACAACTGACCTTGTAGAGAACTGAGAAGATAGGAATCGAATTCATACTTGGCAGCATTCATGTCCAGAAACACTCCGATGCGAGTCAGCGGTGCAAAGGCCTGCGACCCGAAGTCTGGTGTGTACATATGTTAAATATGCGTATGCTAAAATGGAGTGATAGTTCAGCGTAGTATATTAGTTTATCATATGCAATATGCATACACACACTTACTATATCATAAATTTCATACACAGCTACAAGTTAATAAAACCGCGTGCAAAGTGCGGAGAGGTCGTTAGTTAACTAGAAGACGCTGGAAGTCGAAATAATCGTTGTAAAGAATAAATATGAATAATAAAAAAAACTGACAAATTAATTCAATAAATTTTTGTCAGAAATACGATAAGTCAGTAGTTTTGTCTTGATAAAAAAAATACTTTAAAAAATGGCATTACTTATGATTTGCGAATACTCAGTTACAGTCTAACAAATTTGTTTAATAAATTTTTTGAAGGGAGAAGTCAGCTCTCATTGTTTAACATAAATTTGAAGTCTTCGTTAAAATCGGCGTTGCCACCCAACAACTTCGGTGTGATCTCCAAGAGAGAAAGTAACTACTGTCAATCATGAGATCGTCAAGGTTCGAACTTTTAACCGGCGAAGAGAATAACGTTAATGTTGGTAAGCGATGAAAAGACAGTAACAACCAATGGAAGGAAGCAAAATAAAAATAGCGACCAATGGTAAATAACGATCAACTGATATAAATGCGGAGTAATATTAAAAAAAGGAGAGCTTTTTTCGTTTGTTCTGAATTGCGAGTTGGAGTTAGTTGCTACGCTTGGAATCGGATACAAAACGTGGTCGTCGGTAAATGTAGGTAGTCGGTTCATGGTGGCTTGGTCGGTCGTTGATGAACGTTGGTAGTCGGTTAGTTACAATTTGGTGGTCATAGTTACATATTAACGCCAAACCTTCGGTAGAATTTATAGAATATTGTAATAATATATATATATATTATAAAATATTATATTGTAAACATATATATATATATATATTTATGTATATATATATCCTGACAATTGAGAAGATACACGAACGTTTGTTATTTGAACTTTTATTAATTTTTGTATCAGATTTTGTTGGAATATAAAAGTTTCTGCTTTAAAAATTTAGAGTTTTTGATTGTCGGGTCAAGACCGAGAACGAACACCTGGAGAGATCCTGCATGCATTCGCATCTTTTTATTTTTGTGCAGTTTAACGACGATTCAGCACAAGACTATCTTTATGCCGTCTGTTTTTATAAGTACTGGTGTTCCTTTATTACCAGTAGACCTGATAGTTGATAATTCTGCCAAAAAACGATTTTATATCTGATGTGATCTTCTAATCACTTTGTAAATCTTACATTCTATCTGATATGTTGAATTAATTTTATTCCACAAATATCGCAAGATGGCGGATATCTAAAAATGATTCATTGCTTGAGCGGTCCATTTTAAATTTATCAAAAAACAGTTTGTATGTTAGCTTGAAATTTAAGCCATCATCTTCATTCTTACCATCTTCTTACTTGAACAGGCACGCACTATTTGAGTTTCAAAATGAGGTCGGTGTCATCGAACAACTGATAATAGTTTGTTTTTCTAGATGAGTAAAAAACAATTCTCCCGATGAAAGAATACACAACAGATAAAATTTTTAGTTTGAAGTCTAGAGTACTTAAGACATAATTTTGGCACTACCCTTAAAAAGCTCGCTTGATTAGGAGCAAATATGTGGTTGTCAAGCAAATGCAGATGTTCTGTTGACTTGGGAATACCCACTTAAAGGCTGCAGAATATAAAATTTATGAAAGCGCCCACTAGAGTTCGCTATTTCAAAATTGACAGTAACAGTTTGTCAGTCGATACTTTAAAATTTTGCAATATATCTTTCGGATTTAATCGTTTATTTGAATAGTACGTTCGTTTGGCTAATACAGCTTAATGTCATTAAGATATTTTTAATATGACACAAACTCCTCAATGGAATCTAAAAGATAGTTTTAGTCTAACCTTGAAATTCTTTTGATATTCTACAATCACTTAAGCGTAGAACTACAAAATAATCAGAATGTAATTTTAAGACTTTCAAGCGTGTATGTGCTTAGACAAACATTCATCATCATCATCATGACAACCATCCAACCATCATCATTATCATCATCATTATTATTATTATTATCATAATTATTATTATCATCACGACCTGTGTAATCCTTAACGACATCTCTTCGCAAAATCTTTCTCTCAACCAAACATTCCTTTCCGGATATCTTCCTCAAGGCTTTTCAATTGATTGATTGATTGGTAAATTAATTGGTTGATTGATTGGTAAGTTAATTGGTTGATTGATTAATTGTTTGTGGTTGGTTGGTCGGCTGGTTGGTTAGCTGGTTGGTTAGCTGGTTGGTTAGTTGGTTGGTAGGTCGGTCGATTGTTCGGTTGTGGTTGATTGTTTAGTTGGTTGGTTGGTTATTTGGTTGGTTGGTCGGTATGTTGGTTGGTTGGTTGGTTGGCTGGTGGCGGGTAGGTTGGTTGGTTGATTGTTTGGTTTTTCGGTCGGTTGGTTGGTTGGTCGGTCGATTGGTTGGTTGGTTGTTTGGTTTGTTGGTTGGTTGATTGGTTGGTTGTTGGTTGGTTGGTTGATTGGTTGGTTGCTGGTTGGTTGGTTGATTGGTTGGTTGGTTGGTTGGTTGGTTGGTTGGTTGGTTGGTTGGTTGGTTGGTTGGTTGGTTGGTTAGACAATAATAAACAAATATTATAATAACAAAAGGTTTATAAAAAAAATAATTACGACCATGATAATGATAGCAATAATGACCAGATTGATGGTGTTGATGATCATGAAGATAGCGATGATTACAATAACAATAATAATAGTAAAAATAATAATAATTATTATTATTATTGTTGTTGTTGTTGTTGTTGTTGTTATTATTATTATTATTACTATCATTATGATGATGATGTAATGACGATACGCTGATGATGTCATTTCACCTCTTAGGTTGTTAAACTTTAACTTGGCCAGTTTCTTGTGGGCCTCTTCTTCCTTTCTGTTCCTTTAGTTTCAATCATTGAGATCTCCATCATCATCACCATCACTACTACTAACATAACCATCATTATCATTAACATCGCCATTACCCTATCATAATAGCCATCGTAGCTTCTTTCATCACCATTATCATAATTCCCATCGTCGTCATCACATTCACCATTATAAACACCAGCTTTATCAACAACATCATCACCATCATAACAATTATCACCATCATGATCATTATTAACCACACTATCACCATGATCATCATATCATCGCATCAAGATCGTTACATCATCATCACCTCATCACAATCACCACATCACAATCACCATCGCCACATTCATCATCTTCATCATCACATCATCATTACTATCATTATCATCATCAAAATCACATCACAATCACCATCCTACGATCATCATCATCATCAACATTACATCATTATCATCACATCATCACCACATTACATTCACCATAGATCTTCCAATCGTTGCCTGTTTATCTCATCAGTCTGCCCCTCCCTCAGCCTCAACATCTTCATCGTCACCTTCAACCGAAGGTCCAAGATCCTGATGATAATCATGATGATGATGATGATGATGATGATGATGATGATGATGATGATGATGATGGTGATGATGATGGTGGTGGTGATGATGATGATGATGAGAGCAATAATGACTATGAAGATGATGGTGATGACGATGATGATGAAGTTGATGGTAAAGATTTCGGTGGTAAAGATGATAATTATATGGGAATAATCAAAAACGTCATGACCAACCTCTGTATCTCAGCATCTCTGACGCTCCACTCCAGTGCATGTTGCTCCTCCATCTTCTTCATTCGCTTCTCAACCTGGCACTTCTCACTCAACTGCATCTGCTCCAACTCCCAGATCCTTCATTAGTTGGTTAGTTGGTCGGTGAGTTGGTTGATTGGTGAATTAGTTGTTTACAGTTACACAAACACATGTGCATGTGTGTGTATACGCGCGCGTGCACACACACCGAACAAGCACGTGCACGAGGACACATGCACAAAACATGTACGTTCGTGGGACTGCATGCCTTTTTGGTTTGTTACCTCTTTGTTCTCATCCTTTCAATCATTTCAACTTCTGCCAATCCCGCTGGCAAACCACACCCTGATCAAGTTGTTGTGTTGTTGGTGATGATGATCATGATGATGACCACCACTTTTACAATCAATATGATGATGATGACGATGATGATGATGATGATAATGATGATGATGATGATCGTGGTGATATTAATTTTGGTAATGAAAGTGGTTCGATAATGATTCGATAATATATTATACTTGTTTACATAAATTTTATTGGCAATGCAAGAATGCAGGACTGACAAGCAAACGAACGAACAAGCAAACAATCAAAAGAACGAACGAACAAACAAACACATAAACAAACGAACAAACACATGGCGAACAATCCAACCGTATGATAACATGGCGATACTGAGCAGTTCAGAAGTTGTTCCCTTCGGCACGTAGTACTCAGGTGTGTATGGTTCAGTCTGAGTTACGCCCTCCCTCAGGTCCGTCTGCGTCAAGGTCGAGGTCGTCTCAGCAATTTCAAGAGGGTCCAACAAACTCACCTTCTTCAGAACGTTCATGTGGCTACGTGGAAAAAATTGTGTGTATGTGCGTGTGTGTGTGTCTATACGTGCACCCAAAAAGGGTTGATTTTAGCCGGAAGTGGTGTTGAAGATGAACTCCCAGCATCTAGAAAGTGCTTTCATATGGTTTGCAATCTGAAGTTGAGAAGCAACCAAGTCCTACTCCTGGCCTCCCCGTGGTGGGGTGGTTAATTTTAATGTTAACAGGACATGGTGAAAGGCGAATAACTAACACTTTAAAATTGGTGTTCTGTTGGTTCCTTTTTGAGAATGTCCGTCAGCTTGATAAGCAACTCATCTAGAAAAGGTGAAACTCTGATTTCAAACCATAGTATCTTCAGTTGTGCTATAGGGTCATAGGGACGGTTACACTACACTATAGTGCCGCTCCAACTGATGCATCCACATGGTTGGTCATCACGTCTCAACCCGTTGTGCCTGATAAGGTCGACCTTGTAGAGAAGAGAGTGTCGCATGTCTCACGAACATGCTCCACTTTAAACGATTTATTGGGAAGGTTGTCATTGGTAGTTGTTATTGTGAGGGCAAAGCCCTGCGGCGGCTGAGGAGTAGCGACGGACACAAGTGGAGGATGCCACTGAAGGTGTTTAGCCACAAATCAGCACATAGGCGGTCTGTGAGGTGTAGATCGTTTATCGATTGAGAGCTACGGTGGTGTTTGGTGCCTGCTTCAAACAAAAAACAGTCCTATTTAGAGATAAACAGTTTTCTTCAGGATTGAAGGAAGGACTAGAAAAAGTTGTCCTAAACATTGCCAGCTTTCCGTATCCTGGCAGCCTGTCGCGGTTGTCTAAACATTCTTCACAGCAGTAAAAATTCAAAAATTGTTAAAAAAAACACCTTGAACCTTGCTCGTTGGAATGTACTTACATCGCTGGACAAGGGAAGTCGACATGAACGTCGCACTGCAGTTGTGGATCGTTAGCTCACCCGCTTTGGCATCGACGTTGCTGCCCTTAACAAAACAAAATTTTCTGCGTCAACTCAGTTTGAGGAAAAGAGTGCCGGTTACACTTTCTTCTGCCAGGATCGACTAACAGGAAAAATGCGAACGGGTGGAGATGGTTTTTTGCTATTCGCAGTTTCCTCCTAAAGGCAGTAAACAAGACTCTTTTTGACTCCACGAATGATGAGGATGCAACTTAGCCTAGGAGGCCACACTGCCACTATGATCAGCTGCTATGCACCCACGGGCAACAAAGAAAGAAATAAATTTGTTCTATGAGCAGCTCAATAAAGATATTGGTTCGACACCATATAAGCATCAATTGTTTTGAGAGACTTCAATGCCCGCGTCGGCGCTGACCACATGACCACTCGCAATGGAGTTGTAGAAGAGAATTCGAACGGAACTATGCTGCTCGAACTCTGTACAGAGCTTAGTCTGGTGATGACTAACACGGTTTTCCAACAGGCCAACAAAAAGATCAGGTGGAAGCATCCGCGTTCAGGTCACTGGCATCTTATCGACTAAATTCTAACAAGGCAACGTGACCTTTGTCTCGCTCGTCTAACCAAAGCATTTTGAAAAACTACAATGTGGTCGGATCACTGTCTTATCAAGATCAAGATATGATCTTTACTGGTAGACAATTACAGAAAAATGTCGAAAGCTGCAACAACGTGGTCTCCATTTCGTTTTTGTTGATCTAACAAAATCTTTCGACTCTGTGAATCGTTCAGCTCTCTGAAACTGTCTGGTGTTGAATGGTTGTCCTTTGTGACAATCGATCGACAAACAATCGAGACAAAGACAATGGTCTCGATTGTTTGCTCCTTCCACGATGGTATGAGAGCAAGAGTGATTGAAAATCAGGAAGATTCTCCGGAATTCGAAGTTGGTAATAGTACCAAGCAGGGATGCTCCTTTGTTGTTCAACATTTACTTTTTCCTGATGCTAGAGGTCACTTTTCAAAACTGTTGCAAAGCATACCAATATGCTATCGCTTGGATGGAGATGTCTTCAACATCAGACGTCTACAAGCAAAATGAAAGTCGAAGATGGTCAATGTTCGCGACGTTCTCTTTGCCTACCACTGTGCTCTGGTTGCACATTCACAGAATGAAGTTCAATCTCTTTTCAATCGTTTTCGTGCGACACCTAAAAGATTTGAACTCACTGTAAGTTTAAAAAACAATGGCCTTACATCAAAGCTACCCAATCTCATCTGATTCAGCGGCCACTGTATCAGCAGACGGCTTGCAGTTAAATGCTGTCAATAGATTTTGTTATCTTGGCAGCTACATATCAAATACAACTGCTATCGATAGTGATATCACAGCCAGGCTTGCAAAGGCAGGTCAGGTGCTGCATTTTGAGAATTGGGTAGACGTCTCCGAAGGGAGCATGGAGTATTCTGGCTAACATAATTGCAGCTTACAAAGCAGTTGTACTGACTACTCAGCTATGTGGTTATGAAGCATGGGCGGCTTATCGACGTCACATGAAATGTCATCGAGCTATTGCTCACATCAAATGAGAAAACAGAGTGTCAAATGTCATGATATTAGAAAGATGCGGTACAATGGGTATCGAGGCACTGCTTCTCCAAGCCCAGTTTTGCTGGTCCGGGCACGTTGTTCACAAGCCGGATGCAAGAATTCTAAAACAGGTCTTCTTTGGACAGATGGCCTCCGGTGCTCGTCTTCCAAATGGTCTGGTTCGTATAAGGACAATATGAAGGAAAACTTATAGAAATGTGGTCTGGATCCACAAACATTCTGCACTAAAGCTCAGTAACGTACGGAATAGATATCAAACTCACAAGCGGCGATTTCTGCCTTTGAACTGGCACGAATCGCCGCTCAGGTTGACAAAAGGTAGCGGCGGAAACAAGTGACTCATGATGGAAGCGGCACAGAGGTGTGAGTCTGTGAAATCTGTGATCGTCGATGTTTGTCTAGAATTGGACTTTTTTTCCACCGAAGTCACATCAATGACCTAGTTCTTCGTGAACAAAGATGAAGTTCATATGAGTCTGTTCGTGTGTGTGTGTGTGTGTGTGCGTGCGTGCGTGTGTGTGTGTGCGTTTGTTTGTTGTTCATAATTGTAAAATAATAATTTAATTTTTCTGTTGTACTGATGTGTCGTAAAATGAGTGAATCCGAGCACCTCTTTGGCTTCAAAGGCTTCAAACTCAATGACAAATCTATAAGCTAAAGAACTTTCTCGGTATCAACTTTTATTAATAAATCAAATCCTAAACATGAATTGAGATAAAAAATAAGAATGCAATCACCCTCTGTTGAAATCGAGAAATATCCTCAGTGGCATGCTGTTCTGTGTTGGGCTGGCCTGTCTGCGGGGTGGGTGCTACTAATCACCACAACATCATTATTATCATCATCATCAGCCTCAACATCATCATCATTAATAACAACAACAACACATCATATCCCTCTACTCGTTATTGTATAATGGTTATGAGTGTATTATTATTGTAACTACTAACTATTATTATTAAAAATATTATTCTTTTTAATTATATAAAATAATAATAATATTATTTTTATTATTAAAATTTCACTGTGTATAGTTATCAATATTTTATTAATACTATCACCATATCATCATCATAACACATCATCATCATTATGCTTCCATGATATTTTCATAATTATAATATCATTATATAACAAATTTATGCCTTAATAGCATTAGAGAATCCAAAATAATTGGATAGACATATAAAAAGATTATTAGCATATTTAGAAAAACCATAAATAACATTATCATTATTTCATCTTATGAAAAATGCATGAGAACGTTAAAACAGTTGTTTTGCATGATTTACAGGAAATATTTGATTATCAAAATCAACTCATATCACTTGTCAAATACAATGATCTGGTCGACAAAATAAAAATTAATCTAACTTTTTAAATTCTTTATATTCGGCTAGCTTGGTCAAAAAATTCTCACTTGGAGATAACTTCAACGGAGTTCTGCAAGTTTTTGAAGATGCAAGTATGAAAACAAATGATGAATGTGGTGGAAGATGAAAATTCAAGGACAGTGATTGTGATTTTCAAGTAATAGAAACTATGGTATCAAAATATGCTTCTAATAATTAAATTGAATGGAAATAAGTTAGAAATCAGATAAAATAATATTTTAAAAGTAACCTATCAAGACAGGCAGATGGATCAAAATCAACTAAATTTCTTGGCAGTTTTGTCAAACCACTAAACATGGATTTGTCAATTGGCAAAAATCTCTTTCATTTTGTGTATTTAGATTTTTCATTATTAATTTTTCATTCTCAAAGTCAAAATGAAAAAATCAACAATAAATCAAATGAATTTTGTGTGTTTCAAGAGTGAGTTAGATATGTCAACTATTTTTTGGTGTTAAAAAATATTGAATACTAACAATGCTTGTGTCATAGAGAATGGAAGATTGTGTACATTTTTTATAGGGGTTAATTTCCTGCTTGTTCTCTATAATGAAAAATTTTAAAAAAATTAAGAGCAGTTTTTTGCATTGACTCGGTTTTTTAAGACAAGAGTTACTACTTGTTGGTGCTTTCATACAATTTGTTTTTGTAGCTTAACAATAAAAAATATAACAAAAAAATTTGTTCTGTCATATTAACAAAACGTCCTACCTCGGGAAACCGGGTCTCTGGACGCAAAACGAAGATTGATTGATTGATTGATTATTAACAAATATGACTTATTTATTTGTTATTATATAAGTTAACATTTTATAAAAAAAAATTTGTTAATGATAGAACGGAATGACTAACAAATATTTAACAGCTAACACAAATTAAATTTATAGACCCTTGAAAAATGAAATGATAAATCAAACCATTCAACCAAACCTCACCTTTGTTGTTGATATCAGGCAAACAAGTTCTTTCCTTGGAAGAAACTATTTTGGGCATTTTTCAAAAGGATTATTCTGAACTAACTTATAAGTAGATATAAA